CCTTAAATGATAGAAGTACTTGCGCTGTCCAATCTATAAAGAATGTGTCTGTTCCCCGAATAGTGAGGTCAAAATATAAATTTAATGCAGGATCTAGAAAAAAATCTGATCATGATTAAACCAGAAAAATTTCAAATAAATGAATTTTTAAAGTTTGGGCTCCTAAACATTAGATCACTCTCACCCAAAGCAGTTATTGTAAATTAAATAATCACAGATAATAGTTTTGATGTACTCTGCTTGACTGAAACCTGGCTAAAACCAAATGATTATATTGGTCTAAATGAGTCTACTCCACCAAGCTACTGTTATAAGCATGAGCCCCGTCAGACTGGTCGTGGCGGCGGTGTTGCAACAATATATAGTGATATTCTCAATGTTGACAGGATACAGGTTTAACTCATTTGAAATACTTCTGCTTAATATTACACTATCAGATATGCAAAAGAAAAAAAGAAATTCTCTTGCTCTGGCTACTGTGTATAGACCACCAGGGCCGTATACAGATTTCCTAAAAGAATTTGCAGATTTCCTCTCAGACCTATTGGTTACTGTTGATAAAGCGCTAATTGTCGGAGATTTTAATATTCACGTTGATAATACAAATGATGCATTAGGACTTGCGTTTACTGACCTAATAAACTCTTTTGGAGTGTATTTACTACACTTTATTAATTTATACTATATCATAATGTAGTATTAACTACAATGATAATCAGTGAGTTACTATAGGATACTATGAAAATACAGTGTGTTCTGGTGTTCAGTAAATGGTGCTCTGTACCACTCTGTACTTTTCGAAACCGGTTTGGATAAATATAATTTGTATCGTCGTCTAATGGACATTTTGTAAGGCAAACAAACAAAAAAAAAATTTATATATATATATATATATTTTTTACAATAAATTAATTACATAACAACAATTATTAGCTCTTGCGCTACTGACATACGTGACGCTTTGCGCCAGTCGCGCGGTCTTCAGCAAACAAACTTTAAAGACGTTGGAAGCAAGAAAGTTTAAGTAACGTCAAATTTTTCCTACTGGTGAGATTGGATTGGGGAGCTCTCGTGGTTACAAGGAGCGCCAAATTACCCTTTCCAAATGTGGGTAGGCCTACTGAACTGACCAAACAGAAGACCACACTTCCCAGCAAAGATACTGGCAGTGGTAAGTTAAGTCTCTTATTAACCTTTTCAGTTCACTTACTATCTCATGATTTATCGGTTAAAGCGCAGTGTAGTCTTTAACTACCTCATCAAATTGAAAAAGGTTAGAGAAAAACGTACTGCGCCATGGTACAACAGTAATACCCATTCTCTCAAGAAAGAAACTCGTAGTCTTGAGCGCAAATGGAGAAAAACTAACTTGGAGGTTGTTTTGCGTGTAAAAACAGTATGTCCAGCTATAGACCGGCTCTAAAAGCTGCCAGGGCCGAGCATATCCATAAACTCATAGAAAATAACCAAAACAATCCAAGGTTTTTATTTAGCACAGTGGCTAGATTAACAAATAACCAGACGCCACCCGATCTAAATATTCCCTCACAGTTTAATAGTAATGACTTTATGAATTTCTTCACTGATAAAATAGATAACATCAGAAATACAATAATAAATGTAGTTTCTACAGCATATAATACTTCAGCTTCATTCATCGCACCAAAAGATAAACTGCAGTGCTTTACAACTATAGGACAGGAAGAGCTAAATAAACTTATCACTGCATCTAAACCAACAACATGCCTGTTAGATCCTGTACCCACTAAATTACTAAAAGAGTTGTTACCAGTAGCAGAAGAACTGCTTCTCAATATTATTAACTCATCGTTGTCTTTAGGTCACGTCCCAAAACCATTCAAGCTGGCGGTTATTAAGCCTCTTATTAAGAAACCACAACTAGATCCTAGTGAACTGACAAATTACAGACCCATCTCAAATCTTCCTTTAATGTAGGAATGTACCCAAAAGACTGTACACAGAATCTCTTGGATTACAATTTGCAACTAGACGGATGTACTGTTACTTCCTTTCCTGCAAAAAAATGATCTCTATGAAGAATTTCAGTCAGGTTTCAGGCCTCACAGAAACTGCACTTGTTAAAATTACAAATGACTTTGTCCATGGACTTCTTGCGTCAGACTAAGGCTGCATCTCATTGCTAGTTTTACTTGATCTTAGTGCTGCATTCGACACTATATATCATGACATACTCATAGATCGATTACAAAACTATACAGGTATTCAAGGGCAGGCTTTAAGATGGTTTAGATCCTACCTGTCCGATCGCTACCACTTTGTTAATTTAAATGGGGAGTCATCTCAATTATCACCAGTAAAATATGTATATTGAGTGCCACAAGGATCTGCCCTAGGTCCTCTGCTATTTTCAATATACATGTTGTCCCTTGGTAATATTATTAGAAAATACGGGATTAGTTTCCACTGTTATGGTGATGATACTCAACTATATATCTCAACAAGACCAGATGAAACTTCTAAATTATCTAAGCTAACAAAGTGTGTTAAAAATGTAAAAGATTGGATGACCAATAATTTTCTCTTATTAAATTTGGATAAGAGAGAGATATTACTTATTGGACCAAAAGACAGAATATCTTGGATTACAATTTGCAACTAGACAGATGTACTGTTATTTCCTCTACAGTCAAAAATCTGGGTGTTATATTAGATAGCAACTTGTCTTTTGAAATTTATTTCCCATGTTACAAAAACAGCATTCTTCCATCTTAGAAACATTGCCAAGTTACAAAACATGTTACCTGTTTCTGATGCAGAAAAGCTAGTTCATGCATTCATGACCTCTAGACTGGACTATTGTAATGCACTGCTAGGTGGTTGTCCTGCATCTTCAATAAACAAGCTACAGGTAGTCCAAAATGCAGCGGCTAGAGTCCTTACCAGGTCAAGAAAATATGATCATATTACCCCAATTTTAGTCTCTGCACTGGTTACCTATTAA